GCCTGCATCAGTTAAAACAAAAATAGTGGCCAAAACTTATTCCAATGACAAATTAAGATAGCATTAATGTTGTCTATTTTTGCAAAATCACAAAGGGACTGACGATTATATAGTAAAACCTCACATTGAAGGTCGTCGTCATGATTTCAGTGAGAATTCGTCTAACATGCATGTAAGTATACAAAATATTCGGGTGTAACACATGGAAAAAGAGTTCTGATAACAGAATTATTGTAAAAAGGTTCCACAGATCTACGAAATAATTCAAACGTGGCGCAATATAAATTATATACCAATTATTTACAATACTAGCAAAGAAAATTAAGTTCTTTATCGACAAAATAACGGAGGTTTACAGTGCTACAAAATTCCGTTTTTTCTTCCGACACACTAAAAACACACACTGGTGTAATTTGTGTGCGACACTGGTGTAGTTTGTGTGCGACACTGATGTAGTTTGTGTGTGACACTGGTGTAATTTGTGTGTGACACTGGTGTAGTTTGTGTGCGAGACTGGTGTAGTTTGTATGCCACTGATGAAGTTTGTGTGCGAGCCCAGTATTTTGTGTGTGACACTGGTGTAGTTTGTGTGTGACACTGGTGTAGTTTGTGTGCGACAATCTTCTACAAAAACTGTCAAAAGCGCAGAAACAAGCTGCAAGATTACTGTTGGATGCTCCATTTGATACACCATCAGTAGAAATGTTTCTTCATTAGGGTGGTTACCAATTGGCAAATATTTGAAATTCAAAAGAGGTGTTATGGTGTACAAATGAATAAATAATCTGGTTCCAGGATATCTTTCTAATCAATTTAATTTATCTAACAACAGATATACTAGATCAGCATCCCAAAACTCTGTCAAGGGACCCAAACACCGTACCACATTTTATTCCAAACACTTTTTGGTACAAGGGAGCTTGATTTGGAATACTTTACCGGTTGAAGTACGACTCTCTTCCTCCTTGACAAAACTCAAACAAAATATGATTGGTAACATTAAGAATGCGGTTTAATTGTCTTTTATTTTTACTATCATACTTTTTAGATACAGCTTTGATTTGTTTTATTTTCGCTATATTAGCGTGTATTCTGTCAATTTTTAGCTTTTGCTACATTAGCATATATGTAAATTAGACAATTTGTCTTTTAATGAAAACCATAAATGGTTAAGCACGGAATATATTTCGTGCTTCTGTGATAATTTTATTGTAATTGTATTGAACGACCGTTTAAATTATGAAATAACTGTGATATGAATTGCTGTTTTAGTAGACCAACAATTATTTTATGTACATTTATTTGCTGTGATACTACTGTCTTTTAACTAACCAATTTTACTAACAGAGGACCCTGTGGAAGATTAGCTTTGCTAAACAGGTTTTGTATCCTCAATAAATAAAGTTTATTATTATTATTATTATTATTACACTGATGTAGTTTGTGTATGCCACTGATGAAGTTTGTGTGCGAGCCCAGTGATTGTGTATGCCACTGATGAAGTTTGTGGGCGAGCCCAGTGATTGTGTCTGCCACTGATGAAGTTTGTGTGCGAGCCCAGTGATTGTGTATGCCACTGATGTTGTTTGTGTTCGAGCCCAGTTTTGATATCAGTGTTGTTGATGTGTGATTCCAGGGTATTTCGATATGTGACACCTGTTTTGTTAGTGACATCAATGTGTTTGGGTGTGTAGAACATTGTTGCTGGGATTGGTGTTGGTGTGCAATATGAATGCTGTTGGTGTGTGCCTCAAGGGAAGTTGATTGTGCTATACCAGTCTGTTTGCGCATGATATCGGTATTGTTGGTGATACCTATCAAACAGTCAGTTAATTCTGTATAATATTGCTTGTTGTATAAATCAAAAGGATAAAAAATCAATATAAAAGATATGGACCAAACCAAAATGACTTAATTGTATTGCACCATATGTCGCCTATCTAGCAAAATGCTTTGATTTTCGGAGTGAGGCTCTCAAAGGATGATCACTTAAGTGTGGAGAGACTAAGGGTATGCAAAATGAGAATTAAGGTGAGCATCACATACCAATTGGGCCTCCTGTGTAGCGCTGTAAGCTATACAATTTTGTTATTAATGCAATGCATGTTATCTACAATCCATGGACCATATGTGTAAATATGCTAACTTTAAAGAGGAATATAAATGTAATTAGGAGTAAGTAGTTGCAGTTAAATATTCCATTTTCTGTACCTGCTACTGTATCTGCTCAAAGAGGAACTCTTAATGACATCACGGTACACATGAGTTGTCATCCTCTGTCTGAAATAAAGATTGTGATAATGAAACTAAAATATTTTCAAAACCAAACAGTCTGCAAGACTATATACAGGTAATCGGGGAAGGAAACTGTGATAAATAATGTCAGTATTTAAAGGTAAAATGACCCTTTTCAGCATGTATTTAAGCCTCTTACAAATGTATGTTTTTTTCTGAGTTAGGTGAAAGTGGCCTTATCAACGGCAGGTGTGAACAGGGTTTTCATTAAAACAAATCCACAGGTGTGCAAGTTTTTTTTATCTAGTCTACGCTACGGACTGTAGTATACCTTGTATCAATAATAACATTGTGAAGCTTACAATTCTAGACAACCAAATTTCATAAGGCTTTTGGTACCTTTACCAGTATTTAAATCCACATCACCACATCTCTCTGTTAAATCGACTATCTGATATATACATGCAGTCATTGCTTCAGTTGTGGTCAAACCGACACACCGACCAGAGGTAAACCACTTGATAACATTGTTTTAACTAGACCACTACTAGAATCAATTTAATATCATTTGTCAAAGTTGATTAGCTAACCCGCGTAATGCAGTAGCTGTTTTGAATTTTCCAAACAGATCCGTTATATTTGCAATACTTTAATGCGAAAAAGTTACCTACCGGGAACGCTTCAATCTCCACAGAAAAAGGTAGCACAGGTATAACCACGGCCTGATAACCAACTGTAGTGCTTTTGTACCTGATCGGTTTGGTGTATTGGGTGAAGCCTCCAATTACCAGCTAAGGTCATGCGAAGACATTTCCCTGTGTATGCAATGCATACGTGTGCCCTGGAGGCGTCATATTAGTGTCTGTGCCTCCCTGCGATGATGTGGATATCTGATGCCTCATTTAAGAGTGCTACCTCACTGGAAAATATGTGAAAGGAACCAAACACAACATTTCAATCTATGCCATTATACGGACAACAGGTAAACATCCTTTTCGCTACCCAGTTGAAGCTGAACGTCAACCATAGGGCAGCAAGAACTCATTTTAAGGATAATATTTGCCTTGGTCAGAGTACAGAACTTATAGTCTTCCTCGCTACGGTGAACGCTCAACACAAGAGCCAAATTAGAAGTCTCGCCAGGCAAGTCGTTAACAAATTCGAAAGGTTGATAGAAGGGATAGAAAAGATGAATATCCCAAATGTTGTAATGGGTGCAGCGGAATTCTGCAAGGGGCTCCCACATTAGTTGCCTTCTACATGTAGTGAGTAACAGCAGGTATATTCTTTCCTAACCACCCGACCCACATGGGCTTTGTCTGTGTCTAAGTCGGACAAAATACATTATCATCTTATTTTAAATCGTTGTTGACTGATTTTTTCCCTGTCTTTTCCAGGAAACATCATTCAGTGTTGCATATGGTGCCGGAGACAGTTACTCTTTCGGACTATCAGATTTCGCCTACGAGTTTGTAATAAGATTTCGTGTTCTTTTTCCAATTGTTTTGAAATTTTCTTTGTATTTTTACCTTTTCGTATCCAATGTCCTTCTGTTACATTAATCTATTAAAACCGTTATGATTTAAGCATTACATTGCTTTCTGTTGCTATATCTAGTCCTTGTGAATGAAAACTTTAACTGACAAAGCCTGTGGCTATATCTAGTCATTGTGAATGCCATCTTCAACTGAAAAAGCCAACAGCTGTGTTCATTTAAGGACGGCCTTCCCTGTGTGCAAGATGCATGCGTGTAGTGTATGCGTGTGTGTTTTGGGAAGCTGCGATATGTCCGTGTTTGTCTCCTTATGATAGCGTGGAACTGATGCCGACTTTATAGTGCGACCTCACTGAAACATACTGCCGAAGACACCCAGCAGGACACCCCACCCGGTCATATTAAACAGACAACGGGCGAACCAGTCGTCCAACTCCTAAATTGCTGAGCGTTAAGCAGGAGTTGAAACTACCATTTTTACAAACAAAGCTTTCCTAACAGGGGCGAACGCTCAACTAAAGGCCAAAAGTGAGTCATTGACAAGGGAAACATTAGGAAAAAGAAAGTTGTTTAGAAAGAAGAGAAAAGTTAAGATCCCAAATTTAGTCGCCGTTTACAATCGTACAATTCTTACGCCCTACCTACCTACCTACCTACCTACCAATGGCATGCCCTGGTCTTTAATTTTATTGAGATCGAAACATTATGTAGGGGATGCTACGGTTCTATCGAAACCCTTAGCAGAAAACACAGACAAAAACACGACCATATCTGTTATATATTATTCGTTGATACAAACATGTAAATGTTCACTGCATCTTTTTCATCGAAACTGCAAAACAATTTAAGAGCTATAAACTTTAGAAAACAAATTAATTGAAGTTTAAGAATGATCGTAAACATTTGATATTATTTGTGTAAAACTTATTTGCAATGTGAACACCTTTAATTTGTATTGCCGACACGCCCGTTTTAAAGTCATTTCACACGTGACGCAGGATGTCGGTTGTAAACATATAATTGTAATCGAACGCGCCATAAAAATTAACTGTTACTGTTGAGTAACATTTTCGGGTGGAGAGACAATTAAAGCAGACGTTTTAGATGGTAAATTAGTTGACAAGTCGATATTTTATTCACCAATGATACGCCACACGTGTAATCATGTGACAAGTCGATTTGGCGTGACCTTCTTCAGTGGGGTTCTCGACGGACGCGCGCTTGTTTGGTTGTATCAGTAGCATGTTCTGAGGGGTCGATACGAGACCTCTCGGCGTCTCCGTTGCCTTCCGCGGTCATACACGTGTTGTATTAACTGACGCCATAGTACCCAAGGTGACACTAGTATAGCCAATACGTAATAATTGTGATTATTTGTGGTAATATTACAATACGATGATGTATTGGGTGATAATAGTGTACGGAGTATTCTCTCAGCACATGCTTTACACGCGAGCACAGACAAGGTAAGATCATTCTTCTCATATCGATTTATCTAATTTTATGCTGCGTGTATACCTTTTATATATATTCAATCATTGTTATTTCGGCCGTTTTGTTTATAAAATCCTCCCACGTTTACTATGTTGAGCAATACTAAACTAAGCATGCAAACAGGTGTGTGGCACACCTATTTATAATATATAAACGAATTTATATTCACCCAAACCTATTTAGCTGATAAGTTTTATTAAAATGCATAATATCAAACTCGAAATATTGGGTAGGATAAGGAGGCAAGTAAATTTTATCGTTAGGTATGATAAAGGAAACATGGAAGTATAAACGTTAGATATGATAAAGGAGACACAGAAGCATAAACGTTAGGTATGATAAAGGAGACAAAGAAGTATAAACGTTAGGTATGATAAAGGAGACATGGAAGTATAAACGTTAGGCATGATAAAGGAGACACAGAAGTATAAACGTTAGGTATGATAAAGGAGACACAAAAGTATAAACGTTAGGTTTAATAAAGGAGACATGGAAGTATAAACGTTAGGTATGATAAAGGAGACACAGAAGTATAAACGTTAGGTATGATAAAGGAGACACAGAAGTATAAACGTTAGGCATGATAATGGAGACACAGAAGTATAAACGTTAGATATGATAAAGGAGACACAGATGTATAATCTTTAGATATGATAAAGGAGACACAGAAGTTTAAACGTTAGGTATGATAAAGGAGACATAGAAGTATAAACGTTAGGTATGATAAAGAGGAGACACAGAAGTATAAACATTAGGTTTGATAAAGGAGACACAGAAGTATAAACATTAGGTATGATAAAGGAGACACAGAAGAATAAACGTTAGGCATGATAATGGAGACACAGAAGTATAAACGTTAGGTATACGTTAGGTATGATAAAGGAGACAAAGAAGTATAAACGTCAGGTATGATAAAGGAGACAAAGAAGTAAAAACGTTAGGTATGATAAAGGAGACACAAAAGTATAAACGTTAGGCTTAATAAAGGAGACATGGAAGTATAAACGTTAGGTATGATCAAGGAGACACAGAAGTATAAACGTTAGTTATGATAAAGTAGACACAGAAGTATAAACTTTAGATATGATAAAGGAGACACAGAAGTATAGACGTTAGATATGATAAAGGAGACACAGCAGTATAAACGTTAGGTTTGATAAAGGAGACAAAGAAGAATAAACGTTAGGTTTGATAAAGGAGACACAGAAGGATAAACGTTAGGTATGATAATGGAGACACAGAAGTATAAACGTTAGATATGATTAAGGAGACACAGAAGTATAAACGTTAGATATGATTAAGGAGACACAGAAGTATAAACGTTAGATATGAAAAAGGAGACACAGAAGTATAAACGTTATATAGGATAAAGGAGACATGGAAGTATAAACGTTAGGTATGATAAAGTAGACACAGAAGTATAAACGTTATATATGATAAAGGAGACATGGAAGTATAAACGTTAGGTATGATAAAGTAGACACAGAAGTATAAACGTTAGGTATACGTTAGGTATGATAAAGGAGACAAAGAGGTATAAACGTTAGGTATGATAAAGGAGAAACAGAAGTATAAACGTTAGGTATGATAATGGAGACACAGAAGTATAAACGTTAGGTAGGACAAAGGAGACAGAGAAGTATAAACGTTAGGTATGACAAAGGAGACACAGAAGTATAAACGTTAGGCATGATAATGGAGACACAGAAGTATAATCGTTAGATATGATAAAGGAGACACAGAAGTATAGACGTTAGATATGATAAAGGAGACACAGAAGAATAAACGTTAGGCATGATAATGGAGACACAGAAGTATAAACGTTAGATATGAAAAAGGAGACACAGAAGTATAAACGTTAGGTAGGACAAAGGAGACAGAGAAGTATAAACGTTAGGTTTGATAAAGGAGACACAGAAGTATAAACATTAGGTTTGATAAAGGAGACACAGAAGTATAAACGGTAGATATGATAAAGGAGACACAGAAGCATAAACGATAGATATGATAAAGGAGACACAGAAGTTTAAACGTTAGGTATGATAAAGGAGACATGGAAGTATAAACGTTAGGTATGATAAAGTAGACACAGAAGTATAAACTTTAGATATGATAAAGGAGACACAGAAGTATAGACGTTAGATATGATAAAGGAGACACAGAAGTATGAACGTTAGGTATGATAAAGGAGACACAAAAGTATAAACGTTAGGTTTAATAAAGGAGACATGGAAGTATAAACGTTAGGTATGATAAAGTAGACACAGAAGTATAAACTTTAGATATGATAAAGGAGACACAGAAGGATAAACGTTAGGTATGATAATGGAGACACAGAAGTATAAACGTTAGATATGATAAAGGAGGCACAGAAGTATAAACGTTAGATATGATTAAGGAGACACAGAAGTATAAACGTTAGGAATGATAAAGGAGACACAGAAGAATAAACGTTAGGCATGATAATGGAGACACAGAAGTATAAACGTTAGGTACGATAAAGGAGACACAGAAGTATAAACATTAGGTTTGATAAAGGAGACACAGAAGTATAAACATTAGGTTTGATAAAGGAGACACAGAAGTATAAACGATAGATATGATAAAGGAGGCACAGAAGTATAAACGTTAGATATGATAAAGGAGACACAGATGTATAAACGTTAGGTATGTTAAAGGAGACACAGAAGTATAAACGTTAGGAATGATAAAGGAGACACAGAAGAATAAACGTTAGGCATGATAATGGAGACACAGAAGTATAAACGTTAGGTAGGATAAAGGAGACAAAGAAGTATAAACGTTAGGTATGATAAGGGAGACACAGAAGTATAAACGTTAGGTATAGGAGACAAAGAAGTATAAACGTTAGGTATGATCAAGGAGACACAGAAGTATAAACGTTAGATATGATAAAGAAGACACAGAAGTATAAACGTTAGGTATGATAAAGGAGACAAAGATGTATTAACGTTAGGTATGATAAAGGAGACACAGAAGTATAAACGTTAGGTATGATAAAGGAGACACAGAAGTATAAACGTTAGGTATGATAAAGGAGACACAGAAGTATAAACGTTAGATATGATAAAGGAGACAAAGATGTATTAACGTTAGGTATGATAAAGGAGACAAAGAAGTATAAACGTTAGGTATGATAAAGGAGTGTCTCCTTTATTATATCTAACGTTTATACTTCTGTGTCTCCTTTCTCATATCTATAAACGTTAGATATGATAATGAGAGAGGAAATAAGGGAGGTTATAGAAGAAAATGTTCAATATATTGTAATTGGTACAACTTACCATATTTGTTTCCTAAATGTGCTTTTTGCAACAGAGGAAATTCTCATTTCTGCAGAAAGGTTCCTCATTTTCGCCTCATAAGATCGTACATTGGAATACAGCAAATTAATACACATTTAAATATGAATGACCTATTATGTTGACCATACGTTAGTCGCGTGTAAAATACAAATGCAGAAGTGCATTATGCATACCAGTTGTTAAACAAAGTGATATATTCGCTTTTATTACATAACTCCTAATAAATACGTGTTTTTTTTTGTATATGCTATACGACACAATTGCTCTTACCCATATCAGCCATCGCTGTATCCCTCCCCAATAGCCGTATCAGCCCCCGCCGTATCACACCCCAAAACCCGTATCACACCCCTTTTGGAAATTTTTCGTTTTTCAATATTTCTAAAGAAAAATAGATCATAAGATAGTATCTTTTATTAGTAAGTATGTAATAAACAGAATAAAACATGCCTTTTTCCATATCACACGCAGTATCAACCCTCGACCAATACCAGCCATCAGGCCTTCAGCCTTCGGGCTGTTATTGCAGTCTGGGGTTGATACTGGGTGTGATATGGAAAAAGACATGTATTCTTCTCTGTTTATTACATACTTACTAATAAATACGGGTTTTTGTATATGCGATACGACACAATCGATCTAACCCATATCAGCCCTCGCCGTAACACACCCCAAAACCCGTATCAGCCCTCTATTCCCGCAAAAACTGTATCGTCTCCTTTTGGACATTTTTCGTTTTTCAAAATTTCAAAAAAAAAAGATCATAAGATAGTTGTTTTTATTAGTAAGTATGAAATAAACAGAATAAAACACGCCTTTTTCAATTTCACACCCAGTATCAACCCTCGACTAATATCCGCCCTTGTGCTGATATTGCAGTCTCGGGTTAATACTGGGTGTGATATGGAAAAAAAGGCGTTTATTATTCTCTATCTAGATAACTTTTTTGTACATCTATACATGTGTATATTATTACCTTTTTAAATGTCCCATTACACTGTAGACAGTATAAACTACCATATTATACATATATATCATATCTGGTTTAAGAATTTCGCATTAAAATGCACGTAACATCCCTTATATTACCAAACAATAAAATTGTTAACATTATTGTATCACTATATTTACAAAGAAATACTGTCCTTAAGTAGGGTCTTATATTTTTCACAGTACACCTTTTTGCATATGCTATATTACTATTGATATTCTATTACTATTTACACAATATTCTACGTCTAGAAAAATTAAAAACATTCTGTAGGAAATTTATTGATTCCCGATATGCCTATTTCATTTTTATAAATGGTCAAGTGGTTAAGGCGTCTGATATGCTGCTACATGTACCACTAGCCCTTCACCACTGGGTCCCGGGTTCGAGGCTTACGTAGGGCAGACGCCAGGTACTGTCCGTAGGTCGGTGGTTTTTCTCCGGGAACTCCGGCTTTCCTCCACCACCAAAACCTGGCACATCCTTAAATGACCATAGCTGTTGAAAGGACGTAAAACACAAACAAACAGACAAATATTTTCATAATTTAGTACAAGTGGATAACATTGGCAGATTGGTCCAATAGTTAAATGGCACTTACCTTCAAAGTGCAGGGGTTCACAGGAGAGATGTTGGGTTTCGAGGTTTGTTTTCTTATCTCCAGCCCACCATGTCTTATTGACTTTCATTACCAGAACATCAAATACATGTGCAGGATTGAAAACTGCACGAACCGTGTCTAACTGCCAGTAAACAACCCGGGGATAAGCGGCGTTATACCTGGTTGCTACAGGGAACGTTAACTTCACAAGTGACAAAAAAACATATCAAGATTAATACAGCGTATTGGCGTTCATAGAGTAAGACTTTTTAACATTTGGTACATTTTGTATGAGATATGGAAAATTTGAACATTTTTCACTCTTGTAAACTCGAAATAGAGATAAAATGTCATTTGAAAAGGATTAACGATACCAGCTTTTTCAATTTGACACGCATTTCCTTTCACAAATATCCCCACAAGAAGTAACCTGACAAAATTAAAATATGAATTTTAATTACCTGATGACATATCAAATATTTTCCGTATACCGTATAAATATTTCACGCGTGTGGCAGAATGTCGATATTTTAAATAGGTAAACGGAATACAATCAAGACATCTTCAAAAGCTAAAAAGCGTACAACGATGTAGACTACAGGGGAAATTACAGCAAAAGATATACTTAAGTATTTCACGAGTAAAACTGTATCGGTGTGTACCATCACCAGTGTGAAATATTTAGACCTAAGTATTATTCGGCAATAATATACAATGTACGACAAAAACGTAGCTTCATTAAGATAGTGTGAAAGTTTGTAGGGTAGTATTTGGCCTCATATTCTAATGACGTCACGGTCAACAAGGAGGCTGTACGCCATTTCGAATGTGCAAATTAGCATAATTTACTACTTTCTTCTAGGCAAAGTTCTTGATGAAATTCCTTATGAAATGTATCAGTTGTGTGGTTAGGTAATTATCTTGGTGTTTATGCCAAGGTCATTTCAAAACAACAACCTTTTCTATCTCCACTACAGCTGTGAATGCAGTGAATCGAAAGAAACGTTCTGATTGGTCAACCAGTTGAAAGATAGCAGTTTATCGTATCAACAAAATCAAAATATCTCATTGATAAATATATCATAATTAACTCTCACACTTATCTAAGGTCAAAGTGAAATGTACGATATGGCCGTAGGTTTGATAGTTATACTTAAAGTGTGCAATGGAGATAGCTTTCACACATGTTTAAGATTAACGTTGCATATATCCTGTGATCAATAGTAATTATATAATGTTACGTAACCATAAATGATGAATTTGAGCATATGTCATATTTGTATAGATATACAAATATAAAACATCTCATCGTACTGGTGTGTACTTTAAACAACTTGATTATCGTTGAGAATACATAAGCGTTTGGCCCAAAGATAACATCTAGATAAGTAAGTAAAGTGTTTTCGACCTTAGATGTGCAGTAACCAAAGTCTAATCAAGTTTCCGTGACGTGAAGCGACTGATAATCAATGTTTCTTTCCTAAAATGACGCCAGTTTATAAAATTACTGGACAAGCTGGTTCGAACATTCGAAATAATTGACCGCCTTCAAAGGAAGCTTATTTGTTTACTTACACAATCTCTTATAATTCAAAGTAATGTTAAACCTTCAAAGAAAATGAAAAGGCACGGTACATAAGTTTGTGGAGCATTTTGGAATAGTGATGTATATCAATATAAGGAATCAGTCACTTAATTGCATATATGGGAGATATTTGTGGTTAAACTGTGCCATCCTGCTTAAAAAAGGGATCCATTTTTCTACCGCTCTTACGCATGCTAGACGTGTTTGCATTGCTGTTTCTCTTCTCAGCGATGCTCTATTGCTATTCACTTTAGCCAGGCATGCTTCGAATCGGTCAGCTGGAAGGTTGTCTGAATGAGTATGGTGGAAACCATTGTCTGATGTACGAAATAATCAAATGTTGATTTCTTCTCCCACTGTCAAAATACCGCCAGATGCACGTCTATCCTGTTTCTGCTGGATCAGATAGATATTTATTATGTACAGAACACATCCGGCATTTTAATGTGTTTCATAAATGTCGGTATTATCCATAGCAGATTGCTACATTGCACTGTAGGTAATTTGCATTGCTTCGTTATTTGTCAGATAAAGGATAAATATTTCCCTTTTTTAGTGTGAATAAGCTATAACGTATTGTCCGGTAAATAGGTATGTTCTCTATGCTACTTTAAGTATAACGTATACCTACCAGTACTTTATATAGATCTACTATCTTTCCACATACATTCCCCGCCTGGTTTGTTTAAGGAGCCTGAGCGACCGCTGTGTCTCTGCGGTATCGATATAATCGACTTCTTTGTTTTGGGGACAGGAAAGAAACATAAGAGATTTGCTAAACCTATTGCATATAATTTGTCTCTCACATTTTTGTTCATTTTTTTTCTTCTTTTTCTTCAAAATGTTTATTCTAACAGTAAATTAGGGTAAACTGACCGTTTATCTAACCAATAACGTATGGGACTGTTTTTCCTCAATTGTATTGATCGACTCTTCAGCAAAATCAAATTTAACCTCTACAATTTAGCACACATAATTCGTATTTTTTTCTTTTATCGAGTTATGTAAATAAGCGTTAATGATCGTCACGTGACATATATGCTAGCACAAGAATACCTTGAAATCATATTACATGATACAAACATATATTACAGAAAGTAATACTGTCGACACATACTACAGGTTTTTTCTGTTGATATTTATTTCCGCGTAAACATCGATAGCGAATTCAAGATACACGCGAACAATATCATTCATAAGGCAACAAAATATTCCCGCAAATATGTGCAGATTGGTCATTAACAATTTGTGTAAAATTAAGCGTGAGAATAATGAGTAACAGTAAACAATGCATGCAATAGATTCAAAGTATGGTTACCTTAACAGCTTTACGCAAAATAACCAGAATTTGTCCAAAAAGATTAAAATTCTCAACTAAAGTTGTATTTATAATCTTTCATAATGACCATCTAATGACTATAAGACACAGAAATATTGATATTTTTGGAAAGTTCTCAAAAATCACATTATGGAAATTTGTATCAAGGGTTCGTTAAGCTGATTAAGCATTGAACATTCGGGTACAGAGAGTAATACGTTTTATCCTATGTTATTCTATGTCATTCAAACAGTATCTCATTTTCAAATTAGCTGATTAGCAACAATAAATTATTTCACTACACATTTTTATTCCGGATATTTCTGAACATTATAAACATATATAGGAAGTTAAATGTTCAGTTCAATGTTTTCTTCATTGGACGAATAGGGCTTTTATACTCTATCAAACTTAAATACAGAGGTGTATGGAATAACCTCAGCCAATTCATGTAGAACTAATGGTTTGTAGCGATAGCTTTCACTGAAAGGAAGATATCGACATCACAATATCTACCTAACCTATAGTCGCTTCTTGTCTAGACGACATGCAATACACTCAACTTACCAAAATAATTGACTAGAGTTTCTAGGAAGTATGCATGCCCGAATTCTGATTGATGAACATGGTCTAGCCTGTACATGGTAAGAGGGAATAGTTACTGGTTAAGCTAACAACAATTCTCCCACACATTTCACTCTTAAAAACAATACTATCCAAAGCTCATTGTATCCAATTTACGTCTGCCGTGTTTTCCATCCATTGAACGTCGATCGGTACAATCTGTTTGGGGGTTATTGCGGGCAATCTTTTCGCAAGTATCTAAATGATGTAATTGATTTATATGTGATTGAGACGTGAACAATCTCAAGTATTTCTCCAGGAGTAATGTGTACGCGATTGTTTCTCCAATTACATCATCGTATGAATTCGAAAATAAGCAAATATTGCATTTTTCTGAATAACTTAGCGCCATAAATTGTAATCAATTATTAACTAGTCTACTGAATCTCCGAAAAAACTAAAATCCACAAAAAAATGTACAAAAAGTAGTCTTTTCTAACGTATTATTCTTTTTTCATGCATTGACTTTGTAAAAGCATGTTGATCTACACTTCAAAGGTTTTACTGTTGTCATTTAAATGTGTAAATGCGTTGTTAAGTAACACATAAGGGTACAAACATTGTCATGTAAACCTTTTTTCCTCTACACAACCGTCCCTATATTATCCTGTTACAACCAACATTCCGGTTGTTCCGCTCTTCAGACAAAGATTAATTTTGTTCTGTTTGATGCCTATAATCTAGCCTTTTCAGAATATTCATCTGGTACAACGGGGCTCCACTGTATATGTGCATGATTTCATTTTAAACTATTGACTTACAACCTCACTAATTGACCAGCCCCAATCACTAGCGACAACATTAAAGTCAAGCACTACCTTGTTGTGTTACGGATCGTCAATTAAGATCTTTTATTTATATTTCAGATCGGAATTTGTTGGTGCTCTGATCGTTGATTATGACAACCGAATCCCTCCGAACTTTGAAAAGAGTAAGTACACTGATATCTCTACTTTGTCGAAAGTGCATGTTTCCTTCCAATATTGGCAAGCAAACCTTCTTGACAAGGATTGTATTCCTTTCAGTTTACATAAAAAAAAAGGTTAACATGATACTTGAATCATTTAAGCATGGGGACAGTGCGCTGATGATTTTATTTCGAGAATGGACACTTTTTATGATTAAATGAACAAAGATAATCCTTTCATATTTCAAATGAAGAAAAACTAGTATAATAATAAATATAGATACGAGGTTAATTTAATTAATGAAGAACAGTCAAAATGATATTATCGTTGTAGTTTGCAGCTTTTCTGCCACACTAGTTGGTGCAAAATACAACACTTTCATTTATTAATTAATTTCCTCTTTTGAACAAAATACGGTCATGTTATGATATAAGTACCATGGTTTTAGTCTTCGCGTGATTTACGAATCCAACAACCTAAGAGGCGTCGCGTGTGTATATACAAAATGACGCATTTTCTGTCTCAATTTAAATTAATCTTTCATTAGTTTGTAAAGTGTAGAGGCCATACAAACCTAAGAATACATCAGGAAATATATCATGTCAACCTAGTTTCTGGAATGGTAAGTAACACGTCTGCTGTAAACTACGCTCCTATATCTTAGCGGGGGGTCTGCTGGATCACCAAACTACCCGGTAGTGAAGCGGACGCAAACCCAATTAATCATCCCTAGCGGCGACTTTTAGCTGTTTGTTTCTATATGAAACAATCTACTTGTCGTGTTCGCCAGAAGGAAAGCTTAGTGTGTAACAGAGAATGTGAAATATTTTGGAAAAAATCTACCAAAACAACCGTAAAGTAATGCTAGTAGCCCTGCAATATCTATCGCTGAAACAAAATGGTGACAGTAGATATTCCTGGAATTACCAGGAAATAAACATCTACCTGGAATTACGATAACCTATATATATATTATGTAGTGGACTATATAACCACGCCGGGTTCGAGCACCAGTGTCGGTGTTGGTAAGACAGGAACAAAAACCAGGAGTTCAGACTTGTCAAGCGAATCCTCAGGAAGAGACAAGATTGGTGAACCTTTTTAGATGATGTTGACCTTTGTGATCAAGTCGGACATGGATAAGATCATGGATAGAATGCTAGAAAGATTGAGAGATAACATTAGGCAGGAACACCGTGTGCTCGTCGATCAGGTCGAAGGAAGAATGGTCGACCTCCAGAAATAGAACGACATATTGAAAGAGAGGGTGGACAAATTAGAAGAACAAGCCAGCGAATCAGACAGTATGAATACTGGACTAGTGTGCAAAGTGAACGATTTGGAACATTAAGGCAGGAAAACCTCCATCATCAATTGTTGGCCTAAGCAATACAAAGGAGAAAGAAACAGTCGGGGAAAGTGTAGAAAAGACATTTGTGAGGGATTCGTTGGAGGTGGATGTACGGAGCAACGACATAGACATTGCGCATAGACTCGGGCGATTTGACAGAAGCAGACCACGAACGATCATCTGTAAAATGACCCAAAGGAGACAAAAAAAAGACGTATATTGAAGGAAAACGGACAAATCGTGTGCGAGGATTTGACAAGAATGAATCAAGAAACACTCCAGGAAGCGTACAGACTTAAAAGTGTTTAACATACAGTGTGGACGGAAAAATATTCGCTGTGTTAACGAAAAGAAGTGAAGATTGTTGTACGATACAGATCAGTATCTTGCAAATGACAACAATTTTAGAATATAAACTAAGAGACAGATTATATGGAACTGCGTGACCAGTGTTTTATTTGAGTTTGAGATCGGTATCTGACTATAGGCTCGCGTACATGTATACGTGTGGCCGCCAGAGATGGACTCCTCTGGTTCTACCGATCAGTGTGGTTTTGAAGTGTGTTCACGATGTGTCAGTGTTATGTCTTTGAATTTGAAGGGTATGCTGCGGATAATTCCTTTTAAAATGTATTCCGCCATTCCCAAAGACGCAGCAGTCCGGTTCTGTCCCAAATACTTCGTGAAGAGGTCAGGGAGATGACGAAGTAAGAACTGGAATGGTACTCAACACGGCAAACTGTGATGTTCACTCCTAGCACATTCGCTTCAACCGGATATACGGCTACTACGTAGACCGGGGACGACAGTAGAACAACCGTAACACAGTATTACGTCACACGTGAAGGAACAGCACAACGGATAGGAACCAATGAAGACTATAACAGCTCCATAGAAAAATAAGTATATAACAATTACGTACCAGTAACGTCCTTCAACAACAGTTCCATAGTAACGTTCGTCTGTAAAATTCCGCAGAAAAGTTTGTCTGTAAAAATTCCGCAGTGACATCCGTCTACAACAGTTCCACAGAAAAGTTCACCTATAACATTTCCGCAGTAAAGTTGTTCTATAACATTCCACAGTAAAGTCATCTATAACAGTTCCTAAAAAAATCGTCTATAATAATTCCATAGAAAAGTTCATCTATAACAGTTTCGCAGTAAAATTCGTCTTGAACAGTTCCGCAGTAAATTCGTCAACAACAGTTTCGGAGTTAAGTTCGTCTGTAACAGTTCTGCAGTAAAGTTCGTCTTAAACAGTTCCGCAGTTAATTCGTCAACAACAGTTTCGCAGTTAAGTTCGTCTGTAACAGTTCTGCAGTAAAGTTCGTCTGTAAATATTCCGCAGTAAAGTTCTTCTATAACAATTCTGCAGTAAAGTTCGTTTGTAAAATTCCGCAGTAAAGTTCGTCTATAACAGTTCCGCAGTAAAGTTCGTCAACAACAGTTTCGCAGTTAAGTTCGTCTGTAACAGTTCTGCAGTAAAGTTCGTCTTACAATATTCCGCAGTAAAGTTCGACTGTTAATATTCTGCAATAAAGTTCTTCTAGAACACAGTTCCATAGAAAAGTTAGTCTATAACAACTCCGTACCATTTACGTCCGTCTACAACAGGTCCACAGAAAAGTTTGTCTGTAAAAAATCCGCCGTTAAGTTTTTCTATAACAGAATTCCGCAGTGAATTTTGTCTATAAAAGTTCCGCAGTAAAGTTTTGTCTATGACGGTGTCGCAGTAAAGTTAGTTTACAACAGTTCCGCAGTAGCGTTCGTCTGTAACAATTCCGTTATAACGTCTACGTATGTAACAGTTACGCAGTAATGTTCGTCCGAAACAGTTACGCAATAGCGTCAGTCTGTAATATGTCTGCTGTGTATGTAGCGTCCGCCTGAAACAGAATGGTTTTAACGTTCGTCTGTTACTTTAGTATGGAACAGTTCGGACGCCAGTAACGGTTCTACAAGTATGTAACAGTTCGGACGCCAGTAACGGTACTACAAGTAGGTAACAGTTCGGACGCCAGTAACGGTACTACAAGTAGGTAACAGTTCGGACGCCAGTAACGGTACTACAAGTAGGTAACAGTTCGGACCCCAGTAACGATACTACAAGTATGTAACAGATCGGACGCCAGTAACGGTTCTACAAGTAGGTAACAGTTCGGACGCCAGTAACGGTACTCCAAGTAGGTAACAGTTCGGACGCCAGTAACGGTCCTACAAGTAGGTAACAGTTCGGACGCCGGTAACGGTACTACAAGTAGGTAACAGTTCCGACGCCAGTAACGGTACTACAAGTAGGGAACAGTTCGGACGCCAGTAACGGTAATACAAGTAGGTAACAGTTCGGACGCCAGTAACGGTCCTACAAGTAGGTAACAGTTCGGACGCCGGTAACGGTACTACAAGTAGGTAACAGTTCCGACGCCAGTAACGGTACTACAAGTAGGAAACAGTTCGGACGCCAGTAACGGTACTCCAAGTAGGTAACAGTTCGGACGCCAGTAACGGTCCTACAAGTAGGTAACAGTTCGGACGCCGGTAACGGTACTACAAGTAGGTAACAGTACGGACGCCAGTAACGGTACTACAAGTATTTAACAGTTAGGACGCCAGTAACGGTACTACAAGTATTTAACAGTTAGGACGCCAGTAACGGTACTACAAGTAGGGAACAGTTCGGACGCCAGTAACGGTACTCCAAGTAGGTAACAGTTCGGACGCCAGTAACGGCACTACAAGTAGGTAACAGTTCGGACCCCAGTAACGGTACTACAAGTATGTAACGGTTCGGACGCCAGTAACGGTACTACAAGTATGTAACAGTTCGGAGGCCAGTATCGGTACTACAAGTATGTAACAGTTCGGACGCCAGTAACGGTACTACAAGTATGTAACAGTTCGGACGCCAGTAACGGTACTACAAGTATGTAACAGTTCGGACGCCAGTAACGGTACTACAAGTATGTAACAGTTCGGACGCCAGTAACGGTACTACAAGTATGTAACAGTTCGGACGCCAGTAACGGTACTACAAGTATGTAACAGTTCGGACGCCAGTAACGGTACTACAAGTATGTAACAGTTCGGACGCCAGTAACGGTACTACAAGTATGTAACAGTTCGGACGCCAGTAACGGTACTACAAGTATGTAACAGTTCGGACGCCAGTAACGGTACTACAAGTATGTAACAGTTCGGACGCCAGTAACGGTACTACAAGTATGTAACAGTTCGGACGCCAGTAACGGTACTACAAGTATGTAACAGTTCGGACGCCAGTAACGGTACTACAAGTATGTAACAGTTCGGACGCCAGTAACGGTACTACAAGTATGTAACAGTTCGGACGCCAGTAACGGTACTACAAGTATGTAACAGTTCGGACGCCAGTAACGGTACTACAAGTATGTAACAGTTCGGACGCCAGTAACGGTACTACAAGTATGTAACAGTTCGGACGCCAGTAACGGTACTACAAGTATGTAACAGTTCGGACGCCAGTAACGGTACTACAAGTATGTAACAGTTCGGACGCCAGTAACGGTACTACAAGTATGTAACAGTTCGGACGCCAGTAACGGTACTACAAGTATGTAACAGTTCGGACGCCAGTAACGGTACTACAAGTATGTAACAGTTCGGACGCCAGTAACGGTACTACAAGTATGTA